GTTCATAATCTTTTGACTGATAAGTTAATATCATTAATTAATCCACTAATTGCATAGTACTTGAGTTCCTCCACCCCAGAGTCTGGAGACTTAGCTTCCAAATAAGCAAGGGAGAGAAAGCGACAGACAGACAGAAAGACAGACAATAAATTTTTACCTAGCCTAGTTAGTGTCCTCCCCTCATCTGGCTGACACATCTGTGAGCATCTTAAACCGCACATCTGCCCAGTAACATTTGTATATGATGCCAAGCGATTGGCTGAAGTCACCTAGAAGGGGCACCCATTCCTGGACATAAAAAGATTAAGACAATAATAATAATAATATGATGTCAGAGATGCGGGCACTGGGGACTAGAATGCACCCAGTGAACAGGGTAAGAAGGAAGTTGGCATCCGAGCACCCATGCGGGAACCATGGAGAGAGAAGCCAGGGCAGGCAGGCAGGCGGGCACCAGGGTGATTTCCCCATTTCCCCAACCCCAGCACCAGCCACCACAGCCCAGGTCATTTACTGGGAACCCCAAGTGGTGCCGGATCACATTTCAAAGGCTCAACTAGATCTGCAGCCTGGGATCCTGGGAATGGGGTGGCTGGGGGGAGTGGGCGAAGGGGGTGGTACCTTCGAGGTGCCAACTAGGCTGCCTCCAAAACTGGAGATCCGGGAGACAGAGGCCCAAGGACTCCAGCCCGGCGTGCGTCTGAGGCACAAAGCACCTTGATCGAGCTCTGGGCTGGGGCGCGATTTGCTGCCTTCCCCCAGTCTGCGCCAGGCCGGTGCTGGCACTGGCACTGACACTCCTGTTGCCTGGGCCCACGGTGCCCGGACTGCAGGTCTGGTCCTCTGCTCCTCTCTTCTCTTTTGTCAGGAGAATCTGTGTCTCCCACCCCCATGCCGGGGCAGGAGCGGCTGAAGTCCTTGCAAGGACTTCCTGAGACACCAAAAGGTTGGGGCTCACTTCCTGACCTGGACAGAAGAGACAGATTTAGTTTGCAGGCTGCCCTGCTTACCATGATCCAGAGATTCCCAGACCCATTCCCATTCTCCCCACAACTTCCACCTTGGGTTCCCATGGCCAGGAAAATAAGTTGTTTCTGCTTTGGGGACCCCCTCTGCTGTAGGCATTTTTTTTCGGGGGTGGGGTTCTGTCTCCAACCAGTCTGTCTTGATCCATCTAGGCACATAGGCCTACTCTCCCCCAAATACCCCATCTTTGCACCCCCTTGGTGTTTACTCCCATACAGAAGAGAGAACCCAAGGCCAATGTAAAGACTGCTTTCGTATTTCACAACAGATTCACAAACCTCAAGAGCATTGTAAGAAAAAAAGAAAAAGAAAAACCAGCACAAGAGCCCTTACTCTGAAATCTAACACTCCGCCAGTCCCTTTCGCTATATCCAGGACACGGACACACCTCCACCTGAATGAGAGGGGACTGCTTAGAGTGGGTTCTAGAACTCTCTGGGTTGGCAGTTTATTCTCTTTCCATAATCCTTACCTACCCTCCTCCCAGGGTAACCTCGCATCACTTAACTATCTTGTGCTTCGGTTTCTTCTGTGGTAAAACAAAACAAAACGGCGCTTTAAAAAAATGAATAAGAGGAGCACACCTAGAAGATTAATTTTTCCGGGGTCACTTTTGTGGGGGCGTGGTGGAGCTCCTGGCACCGACACCGGCCCCGGATGCCAGCTATTTTTATGATGGTTGCGATGTGCACTTTGAACGCCGACATCTGCAACGTATACTCCTTGATTATACGCATCTTGATTATAAAACAACTCAAGTGCATTTACATCCGGAACTGTCTCCAGCCCGGGCTCCTCACTCCAAATTGGAAGAGACGCCTACCGATGGGGCATGCATGCATGCACGCACGTGTGTATGCACACACACACACACACACACACACACACACACACACAGGTCCTTTAACACCTGCAGGTCCTGGCCTGGGTCACTCCCCCCCCCAGGTGGGACCCGATGGAGCCTGAGCCCAGAAAATTCGCTGCTCTGGGCTCTCCTCCGCAGACTGTTCCTGGTGAGGTCCAGTTTGGAGATCAACAGAGCAGAACGGGTGGGGAAAAAGGAAGCATCGCAGAGGGCGGCTGTCTGTGTCTGTCTGTCTGTCTGCTAGCTTAGGGGAAAGGGTCAGAACCCAGGGCTGGAATTATAAGTTGACATTCAGGAACGTTTCCCCCATGCGCCCGCCGTGGGCCCGGGGCGGGCGCGGAGGGGACACGGAGCCGCGTGGGCGCAGGCCAGGCCGGCGCTGGGGTCGCGCACGCCCCGGGCTCCTTAGGGGAGCCCGAGAGGGAGGGAGAGAGGGCGAGAGGAGGGAGGGAGGGAGGGGGAGCGCAGGGTTGTGACCCCGGCCTCTGCCCGGGCGCGCCCTTCGGGCCCCAGCAATTAGCACCGCGAGGTCAGCAGGAACCCGGACGCCTCTTCCCCGGCCTCAAAGCGCAGCAAACGGCGCCCCCCGCCCTCCCCTCCGCGGGTCCCCGACGCCAGGGCGCAGCCGGGCCTGGGGCCGACCTTCCCCGACAGGCCGGGGTGGAGGGGAGGGGGGGGCTCTGGCCCGCACCCGCCTGCCTTTGTCACCTTAAATCTACAGATCACCAACTCTCCCAGCCCCGCTGACCCCCACGGGGGACACGGGGGACACGGGGGGGGCAGAGGGACCGCGGCTTCCTGGGGAGGTGGCCTTTGTCTTAGGAAGCCACCGGCTTCAAAGCAGTGCCCACCTGGGGTGGAGGTGGAGGCCTGGGGGGGTCGTCGGCTCCCTCCCTCCCTCCCCCGGCCTCAGGTGACCCCTCCACCCCGGCAGGGTCCCCCCCACCCCACGCACACACACGATACACCGAACAGGGGGAATCGCCAGCCGCGTCCTCGCTGGAGTTCCTCCTGGAAATCCAGAGGGCGGAGGATGACCCCCCCCCAGTGACGGATCCCCCCCACCCCGGTCCGATCCCGGGGACGCGCGGGAGTGGGTGGCGGGCAGGGACCCGCTGCGGATGGTCCGGGCCGGTGCCCGGGGCCGCCCGCCACCGGCGCGCACTGGTGGGCCGGACAGATAGGTGGCACTCGAAGCCCGGGGGAGGAAGA